TTAGGTTACCTGTGTGCCCACACACGTGATAACAGGCATGCTGGAAGGGCAAGTACAGATCAGGGTGCCTCACTGGAGTAGAAAGATCCCACCCAACTTCATTGCCATGTGCTTCCATGTCCCCAGCAAGCATGGCTGTGAAACTTTGGAAGTGAAGCTTTCAGAGTGCACTGGACAGTATATGGGTGCAGGTGGGAACTTTGAATAATTCTTCCCCATCTTCCTCCCCACCTCCTCTGCACCTCAGAGTGATGCAGAACTGCTGGCAGCTGCAGAAGCTGGTGAGCTGGTCAACATGTGCACTTCTTGTCTAAGACGGAAGAGACAGCAGGGTGAGAGAACTCTAGGCTAGGAATAGTCAGAGAAGGATCTCTTACTTTACCACAGAGATCTTAGCAGTGGTGACATGTCACTCATGGAATCATTGGAAGACCTCTAAGATTATTGAGTGCAACCATAAACCTAACACTGCCAAGTCCATCACTAAACCTTGTCCCTAAGTGCCACATCCATACAATACCTCCATGGATGGATGACTCAAGCACTTCCCTAGGTAAGCACACAGCGTATTGTAGGGCAAGATGACAAGAATCTGGCAAAACCACACACCCTCTACCACAAGATGACTGTGTCATTAGTTCTAAGAAGGATGTGGAAAGGGAGAAAAAAAACCCAGACACGTAGAAGTATGTGAGAACTCTTGAATCCCACAAGCTACTTCAGGCCTGATTCCCTGAGAACATTCAGAGTTTTGTACTCTTAGGTTTAAGTATTATTACCTTCATACACATTAGGTTATATACATTAGTACCATGGAACCCCTGGAAATCCACACTCTTCTATCATTTTAGCTGTCACACAAGTGTCCTAATACTTTGCAATAATGTGTGAAGTAACATTAAATTTCTCATTTATTGAAATCATTGAGCTTAATCATAACTATTAGAATTTGATCCACAATGTCTCGTCTGTCTGTGGTGCTGCAGCCTGCTCTGTGCCCAGGCAATCCCCCAGTTCCCAGTCCAGGCTGTTGGAGGGAAGTCCCAGGGTCTGCTCTGGGACAGACAGACCAATGCCAGCATGTCTGGAATAGTCCCCTGGAGAGGGGCACCAGGCCCATGCAGTACCAAAATGGCAAAGTCCAAACCCAGAATCCAACAGAGCAGTTGCTCTTTACTTCATCTGATTCCTACACATAATCAAACTATCTTGTTTCTGTACCTGTGAGCTGCCAATTTTTTTTTAAATTTTGCTCTAACTTAGCCAAACTGTTATGCAATTGTATGTTTTGACATATGAATAGTCCCATTGAAGTGACTGCAATTCCTTATGTCCTTCAGGTTGCCCATGCATTAAAGTACCTTCCTGAATCAAGGACATTTGTATTAGCCTTCACTGTCTTCCAAAAGTAACAATTTGTTGTTTCCCTTTTCTCAGGTTCCCAAAATACTTTCTTAATCTATTTTGACAGCTGTATACTAAAGGGATCTCTGCTCTTCCCTTGAATTAATCACCGGGACTTGGAGAGTTTGCTTAAAGCCATCAAGCCCAGCATTGCCTGTTGTTCTCTGCAGTCCCCGGCCGTGGTTGTGCGCAGGGATGTGCTCCTGCCGCCTCCTGGCAGTCCTGTCAGCACCTTCAGACAGCACAAACACAAAGTCAGTGTTTCTCTTCGCAGTTTTCTATTTTGGTCCCCAGTGTATATACACTGTATTCTGAAATAACTTCAGTGTTTAGCATGTATATGTAATTTCTGAGTGCCTGGTTAGCCCGTTCACACTCTGGGACACCTCAGTCCCAAGCCAGGGGCTGCTCAAGAGAAAACACCAGTAGCAGACCTTGCTTTGCTTTAGCAATACCTCCTGAATTCCCTTCTTGCTGTAGGACTCATCTTTCTCTTCCTTAAACATCTTAACTCTAATCTTGACCCTAACCCCTGCCTGAGCTCCAGCCCAGTGGCTCAGCCAGGTCCCCAGGTTGAGCAATGTTGAGGGCTGAGTCACAGGGACCCTCCACCTGCCTGGCTCTGAGCCCAACCCCACGGCAGGCTTGGCTGAATTTTGTGTGGCATCTTAGCAGGCAGGCGTGATGTGCTGCGCCTGCTACCTCTGTCCATCCTCCCTGCAGGAGAGGAGCAGGACCTTATTGAGGTGACCTCAGTGAAATCCCTGGTGGAGGTGAACCCCTCTGTCCCAGCTGGCAGACCTGCCCTTCCTTAACACCAAATCTACAACATTGAAGTATGAAATGATTTGTTTCCCTATCAGTCTTCTTCACTTGTCATCTCATGGAAGCCCTACTACACACATGAGTTTTCTCCATACTTCGGGTTCACTGGAGGATTCCTTTTCCATTTCTCTCTGTGTGCTGCACAACCTGAAAACGGTGTATTTTCTCTCAGCCTCTACTCTTGACTTTTCCTCCCTCCCTGCTAAGGGTACAGGTTGACTGATTCTTCTCCCTGGCATGTCACCCTCAAGTTGAGTTTAATAACAAAAAGAACTGAAAGTGGGAGCTGTGTGGTTGCACCCATCTCTTATGTACTGACTATGAAAAGGCTTTTTCCTCAGTCTGTATTTGTGGTGTGTTACACACTGAGGAAACAGACAGGGATGTAGTAAGTGTTTCAGTGTGTTTTAATCAGTAGCATGAACTACTCTCCCTATTCACGTAATGTTTTTCTTCTAAGGAAAGAAATACTAGAAATTTGTTGTTCTCGTTACTTTGTTATACTGGGATGGTTAGTAAAAGATTTTGTGCCAGATTTATGCTCAGTGATGTATCCCTGAAATTTGTGGAGATATTGCAGAATTTAATTTGGCAATATGGAGTTGATGTTGCTCCCAGTGCTGTCTTCAGCTGAAAATCTCCATTGCCTAACTTAGAGATAAAAATTTCCATTGCCTAACTTAGAGATAAAATAAGCTCATATCTTTAGTATTTCTCAGAAGGAGTGCCTGGGGCTTTGTAAATAGCTGCTGCCAGAGGCACTGAGGTGGTGGAGAGTGTTGGCTGCCGCAGAAGTGTGGTAGCAATCTGTGCCAGAGGCACTGAGGAAATACACCCCTGAAGGCAAAGTCTTCTGAAAGGTGAGGAAGATTCTAGCAACTGTATTAGTATCCATAGCATGTTCATGTATGACATGTTTGGTTTTCTTTTTAACACCATATGGTGGTATAATTTGGAGGTGATGTGGAGAGTCCTCATGATACTGGGGCCAGAAGAAGCAGTTTGAATGAAAGCTTAATAGGAATTCAGTGTGCTCCCATGCTGAGCACAGAACTGGCCAACTGGATGAATTTAAATGTCAGACAACTAGGACTTTTACCAAATAGAAATGTGATGTTATATTTCCATGTTGTCAACATATGAAAATAAGCATACTTAATTGTCAAAGAATAAAATGCCATATAGCATATTAAAAATAAATTAAAAGTAGGACCAACGTTTTCAAGAAGTGGCAAAATGTCAGTTATTCAGTATTTTGAGAGCTAGACATCATGTGGGCATTTACAGGCATTATCTAAAAAGTGAAAAGCATTGAAAAGTTTGTATGGCAGCCCCAAGTCTGAATAGACTTGGCAGAGCACTGCAGAATAACAAAGTACAGGTTGGTGAGCAATCAAGAAATGATGTTTTATTGAGTGGTATGGACTGTTACTTCAGTTGATTTGTTTTTTATCCTGTAAGGGAATTACAGCTAAAGCACTTCCAAACTTGGTTATATTTCAAAATACCATCTTTGTGTGCCAGCTTTTGCCTAGAAACTCACCCGAAGATGTCAGCCTTTGAAGCCATTTCATGTGGAAGCATTGCTAAGTAAATTCACTAAATGCCTATTCATCCCAGTAAGATGGAGAGTCACTGGAGCAGCAAATGTGAAAATCTGCACAGCTTACTATACAGAAAGCAGTTTCCTGAGGTTGCCAAATTGAGGAGCAGAGTCGAACCCTGGGAGGAATTACAGTTCACATTAGTGAGCATAGGAGGAGGGTCAGAATGACAGCCTGGTCATTCAGGCTGATTGATAACTAGATACTTCATTTGGTCCAGATAAATACAGTGATATTATGAAGATAGTTTATTAGGCTGATAACGTTTCCAAGTTATTGGAAATTAATAAGCAGCCTGAATCCAAAAGTTAAACACTTTTTGTATAGGACTCTGATTTAACTTGTTTTTCTGTGGCTTATAATATTGAAATGTTTTTGAGATACAGTTCTATTGACAGCTGTTTTATTTTTAGTTTTTCTGCCATTACAGACCATTGCTTAAATGGTGGTGTATCTGTAATGTTGTGGGTTTGAATGCAACTCAGGAGTTGAAGATCTTTTTAATATGATTTTCCTAAATATGCTTACCTAGGTAAATAGAAAACATTTTTGCTCCATTGTTAAAGAAATAATGGACCAGAAAAGCTGTCAATTGTAAAAATGTTCTTGGACATGTCAGCTGAAATTTTGAAAATCTTGGTGTCAGATTGTCAGTCACAATAATTGGAATTAACCTTCTAAAATCCTTTGTTCATATTAATTATATGGGCACTTTTACATTCAAATTCTCTTGTTTTATGCATTCCAGTTCTGGCCTCTGTTGCAAGGATGAAAACAAAATGCCAATAGACACTTAACCAAGTTCCCTTGGAAAGATCTAGCAAAGCATGTAAAATGGGACTATTGACGCAGTCATCTCACAGCTGGATTTTCATACTTTAAAAGTGCTAAGCAGTATTGCTTAATGCATACCCACACAGTGCTTAAAACATCTGCCAGGAGTTGATAGGAAGTGTGTTAAGATGCAATAAAGCTGTGCTTATTTCCAAGTGCACTCCTGCTAGAGCAAGGCAATGAAGTTTTGGAGCAGGATGGAAGTTTTTTGAGCAACTGCCTCCTTCAAAAACTCTGTGGCTGGTCCCCATATGAGAATAATAGGCATAGAAATTACTCTAGACAGTAGTTTTCACTGTGTAATTTGTGCATCTTTTGTTATTTTTCTTGCAGGACAAATGACCAGCTAGTAGCTTTCCTGTCCAGATATCGTGATATGAACTTCTTGAAATCACATGGGAGGGACAATGCAAGGTAAGCTGACCCTTTCCTCAGCTTGTTTAACCATGACACTGAGAGTTTCTGCATAGCAATGGTTTTCCAGCATTATCTGAGTGAAGAAATTCCCAGTCCACAAATGAGGAGGAAACCCTCTCCCTGAGGACAGTTTATTGGTCCATAATGACTCCTTCCCAGTCAGTTTTGAAAGATGGTTTTGTGGGGAGCAAGACATGAAGCAAAATGATGCTTGCTGCCTCTCTGGGGCTTAGCACAGATCTGTGTTTCAGGAACAGTTGCTGCCTCTCTGGGGCTTAGCACAGATCTGTGTTTCAGGAACAGTCAGTAATTGCCCTGCAGAGCAGTAATTGCCCTGCACAGCAGCACTTTCCTTTGCAGCAAAGCCCTGTGCAAGCATCTCTGCAAGGTTGGTAGCCTGTACCAGCCTGCACATGCTAGCAAGGATGGGAATGGTGTATGGAGAGTTCTAATGATCTGCTACGGTTTTGGAGTTTTTTAATCAGTGTCCCTCTTCATCAACACTGCACAGATCTTGGGGAGAGGAGGATGTGCTGTGTTTCCCACAGCACATCAGTAATACAGGTTTGTGGTTTGAGGGAGAAGCGGTGACCAAACATTGTGTTTTCAAAGACTGAAACAATCTCTGCAGGTGGAAAATCTTTTGAATCTGATTGCAGTATTCCTCTTTTCCTTTTCACGGCTGGATTTGTACTGTAACAGCAGTCTTGCAACAGTTCCAGCAACTCCCTGTGCTGAGTCCCAGTGGCTTTGCAGCTAAAAATATTGTTTTGTTCTACTTGGGTCACCAGGTTATCTCTTTATTCTGTAAAACGTCAAGCGTACTGTAAGCCTGGGTTCAGATGCTGTACATGGAGAATGTGACACACCGAGTCACACGTTCAGCCCAGTAGGTGGTTAGAATAATGCACAGGTCTCACTTCTTGGCTGCCTTTGCTCTTGCTGCTAAATTTATCATTTCTGTCATGTTTCTGTTTAAATGAAGTCCTCTTGAGTATTCATCTGGAGCATGCAAATTAGCAGGTAATAAAAAGTAATACTCTAAGGAATAATATTTAAATTTGAGTTGACAGTTTTCCTAGGAGGGTCTCTGGTTTGGGGAATGCAGTGTCAGAGAAAGTGGCAGGCTCAGCTCTAGCTGGCAATAGTGATGGACATCAAGTTAAAGCAGAAAAGGAAAGAGAAATGGCCAGGGAGAAGCAGTCAGTCTCTTACGCTTTTTTTCTCCTCTGGTGTACTTGGTTCTTCTCAAATTCCCTAAGCTAGCTAAGGAAAATAACTAATGAATTATGACATGCTTGCACCAAACTCATTCAAACATGCCAACTTCAGCTGGGTTAGAACAATTTAGATCAATTAAACACACTAATCTGGTATTAGTTTAATAATAAAATGAGCTAATGTGCCACTTGTTGTCACCTGACAGAAATAACAACCCATTTATTAGTTCAGTGGTTCCCTTTGACTCTAGAAACAACTAAATACCTTTTAGCCCATTACAACATGTAACCGTGTTTTATTGTTTTCTTGTATTTCTACCATAAATTATCTGTGCATCAAGGACCATAATGTGGGACACAAGTGCAGATTTGCCATCTCTGTCTGCTGTGGCTGTGTTGTCACTGAGTCCCATAAGCACTCCCACTGCTGACCACTGGCTGAATGGGTGCCCCTTGGCAGCTCCCCAAAATTTCTGTCAGAGAGCTGTAACAGTTTCCCCTGCCCCCGAACTCCCCAGATAACTGGAGAGAGAACTCAAGCCAGCAGTGGCAGAAGCCTCTCAGTAATTTTGGTGTTAGCCCTCTGTTTCTATTGTGAGTGGATTTCCAGCTCCTACTTCACTTGTTGAGGGGAAAATGGTATCTATTGTGAAGATCTGTAGCCTGATCTTTCAGTTTTAGTGTTTCAGTAACACAATTGTGTCTAAACTGCAAAGTGTACCATCTCTCCTACCCGTTTTACACAGAATTTCAAATAGACTTTCATTTTATGCCCAAGGTGTGCAAGCTGTGGTGATGCTAGTGAGGTTTATCCCTCTAGTTAAAATTTTTAAATCCTCTGGACTTAAATACCTTGTACAAATACAGTCAGGCAATACAGACCAAAGGCCCATATGGGCTGTCACCCCCTGTCCTGCTGCCTACAGTCACTGTCCCCAGAGGAGCAGAGGAAGAGGTGGGTAGTGGTGTTTCCTTACAATACTCCCACCGTCCTGTGACCTTTGCTTGGGGAATTTCCACAGCCAGATGTGGTGACTTGCTCATTTAAGAGTGAGAGATGATTATTTTTTCTCTACTAATTTTTCCAGTTACTTTCTAAATTTTGCCATATGCTTGGCTTTGTCACAGCTCTATGGAAAAGAAATATCCTGTGAGGAGAATAGTATGGCCAAGAGCTTAGCGAGGCCTAGAAGAGAAGCTGCAGGTTCAAGGTTGGCAACAAAAATTTAAAAAACAAACAAAAACACAATAATAAAAACACACACGCACAAAACAAAAACAATAACAACAAAAAACCACACAAAAAACCCCAACAAATTAAACACACCAAAACCAACCACCAGCTTTTGGAAGGAATTTAGGACACAAGGCAGTCTCCAGTTTGTTGGGCAATAGGAGAAAACTCCCTTGGGACATCCTATCTCAAAACAGACTGGAACAGGATTTTTTATGTAAAATGGCCACCTGAAGCCATAAGGGAGAAGACACTGGAGTAGGTAGACTGACTGCCACCCTATGTATAATCATAATTTTGCTGTTTCAAGGTTTTTTTCTTAAAACTTGTGAACTAATAAAAAGGAACTCAGCATTTAAACATCACTAAAAGCAATGTATAAGCCTTGCTACTAATTTTTTTTAAATTTATTTGTGGATGAATAATGGCTCTGAAACAATAAGCTTTTTAGTTATCTAAATCTGCTTGGTAAACAACTGGAAACTGAATTTTAAGTCATAGTAGTCTTTGGATCATACAGTGAAGAAAGATTAGAAGTGCCATCTTAAAACTGAAATGCTTATACAGCTCAATTATTATGTACTTTGTATTCCAGCCATGCTCACAATCAGTACATGTTTCACTGCCAAATAAGGAGAGAACCCAGGCTTCCTTTTATAGAGTGAAGTTTTAGTTATGCCAAAGTCATTAAAAAGTGCATCACTCTGATTTTCCTTTAGTGGCTACAGAAGAGGAAATGGACATGAAAATGGCTCCTTAACTCAGCTGGAGAAGCATTATTTCCTTACAGAGCTTGGTGTAGGAAATGAAATTGCGTACGGTGGCTGGAGTTGTTACATAGTACTTAGTGGGCAACACATTTTCTTTGCTTTTCAGAGTCTTAGACTATGAAAAGCAAAAGGATAACCCAGTAGTTGTATAAGCAATTACAATTTGAAACACCTGAAAGGTTTGTATTTTTGACAGGAGCAGCACCTGGCTAGTATATTAGAAAACACAAACTCAAATGTGACATCTTCAGTGACAGGCAGGGAAAAGGGTGTGTGTGGTTTTTTTATAGAAACCTTACCACACTAGTCATTTAGGAAATGGTGTAAACATGCTGTGAAGGCTGGATGCTGCTACATCTTAGAGGAATCTGGAGCTTATAGGCAGAATAAAAACAGCTAAAGAAAAGGCCATTAAACATTTATAGTGTATCTGAGTTCTTCTGTTTTTTTCTCCTCATTAATGCTGTTCATCAAAGTTGTGTTGTCTCCTGGGTTCCAGATACTTTTAGAGGTGCTGCTGAACTGCAGGGCTTTTAGTAAGGAGCATCACAAGCCCATATCAGTTCTCAAAGGCTGGAGATACCTTAACTCCTGAAGGACTGGAGCACATTCCCAAAATCTCCTACCTCTTACAGCCCAATTCTGCTGATTCCTACCTGTTTCATCACCTTTTCAGACATGCCTTTTTACCTCTGTGGCACATGCTGTTTGTTGGCATTGTGTACAGTGGGTTGGTGGTGGTTTGGTGGTTGGTTAGAAAATTGATCACACATTAACTGCTGCTGCATATTGCATTGATGAATTACCCAGCAAGTACCCAAATAACAGGAAAGAAAACTGATATATTATCCCTGCTGTTGGAGTAGTTTAACCACTTAGTTCCCTGCAGGACTTACCTTAGAATCATAGAATCATTAAGGTTGGAAAAGACCTTCAAGTGTCAAAACCCAACCCAGTTTTTAACACTTCCGGGGGTGGTGCCTCCACCACCTCCCTGGGAAGCCTGTTCAAATGCCTCACCACTCTTTTAAGTGAAGAATTTTTTCCTAATACCCAATCTGAACCTCCCCTGGTGCAACTTGACCCCATTTGCAACTTGCCCAACTTGACCCCATACCTTGCTGCTTATTTGTATTTGGTGGTTCATTTGGCTCAAATTTCCCTAAGACATACTTTTTTTCTTCTTTTTTTTTTAAACACTGGAGTATTCTGAAGCACACAGGCTACCAAGATCTACTTGTTTGTCAGTAGTTCAGCCCAACAACTGCATGTGAGCAGTAGCAACTGAAATAGCAACACATGTCTTGTATGCAAAGAGACTGCACTTAAAAATTGTAGACATTACAGCTAACTCCCAAGTGTTCCTTACTGCTTTATGCTAAGCATTAGGGGAGCCATAATGTCTTTACTACTTCGGCTGGACAATTTGTGTCTTTGTAGGGCTTTTATTTCTGCTTGCTTTTGGAAAACAATGCTAAGTTGTCAATGCAAAGGAAAACAAAAATAGGTTTAAGATGATAGGAAGATGCAGTAAAAGCACCTATGTGTCTTGACATGAGACAAAAAAGGATGTTTTTTGGTCTTGGTAGAGTATACAAGCAAGATTATCCACCAGTTCAGGAAGGTGCATTAATTGAAGTAGCCTTAATTCTTGGAGCAGGGTGGGAATTGGGTAAAATCTGATGTGCCAGTTATCAGAGGTCTTATTGCTATCTAAGAACATTGAGCTGCACACTTCGTGTTCAGTGGTATAAATAGTAACATTTGTGTTCT